CAGACATACCGCTGTGCTACTGGGGGGCTGAGACTAGGAAAATATTGATATATATACCATACACTGAAGGAAAAACTCTAGGGAAAATGTTTGAAATTAAGTCGTAATGAATAAACTATGGCATAGAAACGTTTACAAAAGACATTTTTGTTTTATACGTAAATCCGCGCAAAGCTGCAAAGTGGTTATCTGCGCTAGCCGTCCCTGACTGATAGACTAGGAAAGGGCAGCTAGTTAACAGCAAAAACCGCTTCATCTTGGGCTGCTTTAGTCGAAAAGTAGAATTTGGCAGTCACTCTAATAACGCACTCACGGCCTCAAAGCTCCAAGCTAGTTTTTCCGGCAAGGTGACGCGAACCAGGGATTCACAGTTCGGTTCGCCAACTACGAAGCCACATCCAATCCCATTAAACAAATAGAGAAAACTTTTAAAAAGTATATTCTGAATGACGAACTACGATAAGAAAATGTTTGTAAACTAAATTTGAAAGAATAAACTAAGGCACAGAAGATATTGGATGACGAAATTCCGAATAAGTACGCTGCACCCTATATGTGTGTATATGAGAAACACGTTATATAAGCTGAAACTAACTCTCAAGTGAAACAGGACTGAGTGATGTATGTGTGTGTCCAAAGAATTACAGTTTTAGTAATAAACGTATACATGCACGAGAATTTTTTGTTATACTAATAGTGACTGTTCTCATGGTAACAGATAATAAAAGACTGAGTACTAAACAAAATATATTATAAATGAAGCTCTGCGTAGTAATAATCATGAAAGAGATAATTATGTAGTTATAATTTTTAATTTGAACACTCACAAACAGTGCGTTATAGTGACTCTACAAGAGAGATAACCCCATCATAACATATTACTTCACTCCACATTAACTTTTTCAGACTATAGATCCCGACAAAATCTACACGAGAAACAGTGACAACCGTAGTTCTTAATTGGCTCTTTTTTTATAGATGGGATCTTGTCAGTTTTTTCCCTGTTCTATACGATGATGACTGTGGTGTTTTTTACTTTAGTTTTGTAATCATATACATGGTTTTCCTTAGCAATACCACTAAGATGTATAATATGTGCTTAGAGAGAATGCGGCAACAAACTCTGCGTATACATTTTTTTCTTTTTAATATTAAGTCGAGTAAAAGGAAATTATATAGCTTCGAATCACCCAGTTCCGTATACATATACATTATTACTATTATATAAATTGTTACATCCATTTGAGGCTCAGCATATACTTTAACCATTGTGATCATT